TAACATTTTTGTGTTCGTGGCATTTCCGTAAAGTATACTTTCTGACCTCGTGAACTTATCTAGGATTCGTTTGTACACAACTTATTTCATATGCTCATTAACGTAAGGTTTATGTCACCGTTTCCTTATGCATTAATCGAGTTATTTTCTTTGTCTCTCTCTCTCTCTCTCTCAAGTGATTGGCTGTTGTTTGATATCCCCGGTGTGGCTGCGCTTGATGTGCATGTTGACAAGGTGCCTACATGTCTATTACCCACTACATCGTTCATACTGGCTCCAGGAGACAGTTGGTCGTTTCTGGAGGGGATGGGGTGCACAGTCCTTGTGGCCGTGTTACGATCAAAGAGTGGTTCCATGCACTCAGTGTGGAGCGGATTACGGTCCAGACATTGCCTTGTGTGCGCTTGATTCCCCAAATACAGCGTGCTTGTGTTTGCTGTGAAGGAGTGTGAGCCGGCTCCGTTGATGAAACGTAGTTCCCATCCACCTGCCTCCCGGTCTTATTCCTTCGGGTTTACACTGGATATGGGGGGTGTGGTTGGAGCTGTGGGTGGTGCAGCACAAGCCATCCATGGTCCCTGTGTAGGCGCAGTCTTCCTGTGGCTTGCCACAGTGACAGGCAAATCCGAAACCGGATGCCGCCAACCAATTGGTGCCCCGTGCTGAGGCTGATGTTGCATTCTTGATGCTTCTTCACCGCAGTTGGTCTAAACCAACGTACACTTAAACTAGGTATTTTAAGGCTGGTTAAATTTCATTTCACTTTATTTGGTTTGTTCTGCCTATCTGAATATTCATCTATTAACGGGCCACGTTGTTTTCGCTAATTGCGCTTATCTTCGATAACTTTGTTGCGTTTGTAGCATGTTTACAAACTTGTGGACATTTTTTCCCTATCGCGGTTCGTTGCTAACCAACTTACTTCATATGCTCACTTAGCGAAGATTTATGCCACCGTATGTGTAGCATTATTGGACTTGTTTTATTTCATCTTGTCGTTTCAAGTGATTGGCTGTCGCTTGGTATCCCCGGTATAGCTGCGCTTGATGTGCATGTTGACAAGGTGCCTACCTGTCTGTTACCGACTACCTCGTTCATACTAGCTCCAGGAGACAGTTGGTCGTTGCTGGAGAGGGGACGGGGTGCACGGTCCTTGTGACCGTGCTGGGCTCGAAGAACGGTTCCATGCACTCAGGTGGAGCGGCCTACGGTCCAGCCACCGCCTTGTGTGCGCTTGATTCCCCAAATAGAGCGTGCTTGTGTTTGCCTGTGAAGGCATGTGGGCCGGCTCCGTTGATGAAACGTGGCTCCCATCCACGTGCCTCCCGGTCTTATTCCTTCGGGTTTACACTGGATATTGTGTGTGTGGTTGGAGCTGTGGGTGGTGCAGCGCAAGCCACCCATGATCCCTCTGTAGGCGCAGGCGTCCTGCGGGTGGCCACAGTGACAGGCAAATCCGAAACCGGATGCCGCCAACCAATTGTCTATGAATGTAGCTTGTAGAGTCACCTACCTTGTTCTCGGATTCATCGCCCTACTCTACCCTGATAGATACATATTTGCAGTTTTATAAGACTTCAAAGTGTCACACTGGGCTTGAAAAACATGGTCTGAGAACCAGCCTGCTGTTGGATTTTAACGGCGCTGCAATCTACATAGCTAGTTGTCCTCATTATTCACTACGGATCCTTTTTGACGCATAATGATTTAAAATCAGTTCGACTTGTACAACTAGGTAGTGAATGCGGACAGCTGGCTGAGTCATCAAACTAACACACGGTCTGAGTGATAAAATTTCGGAGCCATAGGCAGACTAGCTTGCAATGGTGAAGTCATGACCATACAATCCTATGTGTAAATGAAGGAATATATTATAATAGCACGAACAGGTGAGAGCAGTAATTACATGTAGACGTTCCGGTTGGTATGGAAATGCAGGCAAACAGTGAACAAGTGTAAGTGTACTCAAGTTGCAAGTTGACATTAACCAGGTAGAGATATCTGGGGTTAAACATAGTCAATCGTTCTGGCAATCTGTCTGCTCCTTATGTGTCCGGAGAAATTGAACTGCACAATCAATCAGAAAACGATGGAACTAATTGAGATACTCACGGAATGTCAGTAGGGATAATTCATGCTCCTGAATTGCAACGCAATTGACCGCCTCATGGACCGCCTATTGCCACAAATCCACTCCCCATCACCTACTTCTTGTGTAAGGGAGGTGTCTGCAGTGCTTAGACGCTGCCCTCGCCCACCTAACGTACTTGATATAGCCAAAAAATATATACAAACACAGTCTGGTTGTCGGCAACTTCTCTACTGCTAGAACAAGGCCCTCAGGCTCAACTCAAGGGCTGTTACGCTGTCATTTACAATGGTAGGTGTCAAAATGCTCGGATGTATGTACACCGGGGAAACGGTTGGCAAGAATTCATGGGTCAAAGTTCGAAGCTTATAAAGTGGTACTAATAGGGGAATCGGAGGTATTGAGGCTGAAGGCAACAAAACACAGGAAGACGATTGGTTACAACTCACTGGTATGCAGAAGCTGGTGTGGTAGGCGGAACAAGGGCAATACTACCGGAGTCTTACGAACGCACAGGCACTGGTATTTATATCATGGGTTACACTTACTGATTAAAACAACTTGAGCAGCACGCCGGTATGCGGTACCCACGCTTCGCTGCCATGCAACCATTACCACGAGCGCTGAGGATACTGCAAACATGCCCCGGTCTCCTACGCAGGCTCGAACCGATGGCATCCAACTTACAAAGCAGGCAGACAGACGCTTTGTCCTTTCGGATACCGACCGAATCAAATCCAGGTATGCGTGCATGCGAGAGTCGAAGAGGAGCCCATTTCCATCATCACCGCGATCGAGGTTAAGTCTCGCCTTTTAGCCATCATGTGAAGAAGATGTATTTGCTTAGGCAAACACTGTGATTCTAATTAAGCTTATTTAAGACCACTCGATTGTTTGACTTATAGCGTGCCGGTTAGACGGCAAAGTGTCTGGGAAAAACGTTGTCTTCACTACGGCCTGACTAATGATCACAAAAGCGAAATGATATTCTAGATTCGTGCAAAACGATACCACTGGAGCGTTATCTGGATCACTGCAGTGATGAAGACGACGATTTTCCTTGTCCAGCACGATGTCACAATTTTCCTGACCTACTGTCTGGTAATCACAGTTTATCCTTGTTATCATGCTCCTTTGGTGTGACAGTCGCTTGAGTGATCAGTTGCTTTCCTAGTTGGTAATTTTGAGCGAATCTCAATGTTGCAGCTCTAGATGCCGTTTGTACCTTGTTTGAATACATCTGCCGGTTCATTTACAGATATGGCTAAACGTGAACGGCCTGATCTGTCACTTATCATGATATGCAATATAACCTTATGCTGTATCGGGAGGTTATACCCACTTTTGTTGCTTTTGTCCCATTATATCTCCTTCTTAATTTACCATGAGCACATGTTTCCTGCCAGGTCGTACACTGTGGGTACATGCTCGAGTCTGCCGTTGTTGAACTGGTTACTCGTCGAGTGCGTATCTACACGAATAAGTTTGCCACGTCTCAAACCCTTTTGTAAACGTGCTGGTATTTAATGCAAGTAGATGGGACACAAACGCTCAACTATAATCCGTAGGAACGACTATTGCCCAGTGCCCAACGAACGCCTGAATAGTTCGCGCTCAAAACCAAGTTTACTGTGGACACTCCTTTCTCGATGTCAACGAGAGGCACTAGCCAACCCGTCTGAAGGTCACTGCTGACTCAGCGTTCCCAGTTCGGTCTATTAACCAACAACAATGTAAAAAGTGTAGTTTGGCTCATATCTGATGGGAACACCGTGTGAGCAATGAGCGTGTTCGACCCCTTGTGCAATGCACAAGAACAAGAAACGAACCGCTCAGCACCGTTACTCCACGAACCAAGCTCCGATGGCGGGACCACGTGTTGCGCATGCCAGTCTACCGACTTCCTCAAAGTGCCTTGTTTACGCGTCAGGTGTGGATAAAAGAAGAGGAGGGGTGGTCAAGCGATGAGTTGGTCAAGGGGAATGAAGGCCCTTACCTTGCCTCGGTTGCAGCCTCTCGGTTCCCTGGCCGGGGATCGAAGGACGATCAACACCTTTGGCTGGATCCACATTTTGTCATGGCTAGAAGCTGATCTCAATGGTGTTTATGTTGTGGCTTTCTTTGTCCCTCTCCTCCAGTTTAGCCTTCCCCTCCAACCAAGATCTCATTCATTAGGCATAATATAACTTTTTGCGGCACAATAGCTGGCTGTTAGCTCTCCAGAACCATATACATCCGTTACTGCTGACTCAGTCGGTCCGCCTCAGTTGCGAGTTTTTTTCTTTTGTATTACGGCAAAATACCAGATGTTTTCCACCTTCATCTGACGGGTATAGTGATGAGAGATGATGATGATGATGTGAAAATGGTCTAGAAGTACATCAGTATCCGCTACGCGGTACTGCCAAGATCGTTTTCAATGTTTTTCAGTGGCTAATCGGTTTAAGCAAGTGGTGTGCATGTTAGCTGAATTACTCTTGTTATTGGCTTAATGAACAGTCTTTGATGACTCCAAGTACATTGGGCTAAAAAGCTTTGACTAGGTTCATTATTGATCTGCCTCTTTATCTGTCTTACCTGACAAATATCTGTTCAACTTTGCGGATAGCCATACGACTTCGGCCTAGTCTTTAATGAAGGCACGGTTCACTGAATATATGTTACGGTCGTTTGTGCAACGGTTTCTTGTAGGTTACCTTATCATGTAAGGTGAACCAGAAATTGTTTACCACACATGCCGCCAATTGTGATTCTAACCTATAGTTTAGTAGTACGCACAAGTTGAATTTTCTTTGCTCAAATGCCCATTATTTGTACGACCCGTAGCGTCTCATTACGTACCATACCTCGCTTCTTCACGAATGCTTCAATCCTTTTCGTTGCTTCACCGTTTCTGTTTCTCTGTTTGCAGGCTCAGTTTATATATGGAATTACCATCGCCCTCGCTTCTGCGCAACTCGGTTGTGCGTACCGACCGAGTACGTATTACATCTCCGCAGCATACATTTCATCTATACTGGCGTGCTTTATGAATCATTATTACCAGACGTATCGAGCGGGGAAAGCAAAGAGACGTAGCGATAAGGTGAGCGGGTGAATCAGCTGTTTTGTTTGTCACGCGGTCGTGTGCGTAATTTTTGCAAATGACTTATCAATTGACATCACCCATACCCCTCTCTCTTGATTGAGGGGTTGCCTCTGAACTTCCCTCTACAGTATTTATTCCACCTGACTTTAAACAACCGACCAAACGATTAATTTTTGCTGCTGCATGGTTTGGTTCTCCAACATCCGTGACTGTGAATTGTCTCCGACAGCGAATTCTCGCTCCTTGACCCACTTCTTCTTGTGCTGTTCTTGTCCTCCACTGATTGCAACATTTTTCTTCTCTTTGGCCATTTAGGGATTCCGTTCATTTCCTTTCTTCTTCCTCCGTCTTTTATTCTAAACGCATAATGTAGCTTCAACTGGCTGCTCATTCCATCTAACTTTTCCGATAAAGTCCGAGTTGTTTGACTATGCGGAACAAATTACCACTCTCTTGATTGTGTTTTTCTGCCTGTGGGTCCATGGCTCTCGTTTGGGCTCTAGAAAGCAACTCGGAGATTAACATCTTTTCTGCTGAGGTTTCAAGTTTTCTCCATTTTACATAGGTTATAGAAAATGAAAAAAGACACCTGGATTATTTTAGGCAATATGATTATTTTCCTGTCATTTTTATGGATTTTGGCAACAAATGACACCTTAACATGAGAATTTAGAACAAAACCTGAAACCGCATTTTCTGAGCAAACATATAATTGGATGTAAGTTTGAAGTTACAGCGTCTACAATTTCATTCGTAGCCCAGTTGGAGGTTTTCCGTTGTTGCTTCTTCCAGCACTGACACCCCATAACCGGTTTCGTGCTCGTTTGGGCTCATCAGATGGAGATAGCCTGAGCTGGAATGGAACCGAGGCAACCACCTGAAACTAATGACGCAACACTCTCGTTTGAATTGTAGAAAGTATTTTTTCTCACTTAGTATCTGTTTTCACTGGAATGCATTACCAAACTGTGTGGTGAATGCACCAGACATGACGACATTCGAAAGACCCTTAGATTTTCATCTTAGTGATAAACGATACACAACACTTTGCTAAAGTGCAATGATTTAACCACTGATACTTTACGTTCCACGTTGGAACACTTTGATTTTAATTTTCTTTTGCATATCCATCCTATGGGTCTTGCAAAGTTATGCTTTTTATCCCATCATACACCATTGAACCATTGAACCTCACACACTGGGCAGAATAGATTAGCCTATTTCCCACAGGACGGCATCCTCCTGGTTTTGGTAGTGATTCCAAGTGCTATCCAGAACAAGATTTCCTGCTTCTGTCTTCAACTTTCCGTCGTTTGCTGCTGAGTGTACAAAGATTTTACGTGACATTTATGCCTACTAGATGCGTCTGTAAACAAACTTTCACGTCAAATAGTTTGTAGGAAATCAAGTTATGCTGCTCTTGCTCATGTGCGGGTGATTTTCTCCACAACACTTAAGCATTGTTCATTGCAGCAGCAGTAGGGTTAGAAGCGAATAGTGGCCACCACTGCATGTTGTCAAAAAAATTCTATCTTGATCGACATTTTATCCAATCGTCCACTTCTCCCATCGAAGTGTTATACTTGTTAAGGAAAACATTTTGTTCAACAGGGTTGGGCCTTTTGTCCTTCGCCGACCATCTCTTTACTCTTGTTAGAGGATATTCAACGACAGAGTTGCTGACAAGTCTCACAATGCAGTCATCATTCCTTAACAAAATCACGTCCTCTCGCCTGTGAAGCCTATAAGTACCCCTGTTTAGTTTTCCCAGGGCCTACGTGTCAATGGGAGATTGGCCTGAGCTTCTTAGTAGAGCTCTATATAGGTTGCATGAGGATCTAGTGGTGTTGCAATAACCCACTTTTTTATTCGTATCTAAAAGGCTTTCTCGTGATACATTGTTTCAGTCTATGACGGTCGTAATATCGTCATAATTATACACGTTATCTGAGGGTGGATAACACCTCGGCTATTATGCCGCAATACAAAAGGCATGAAAAAGAACACAGAGGCACGCCGGCTGAGTCCCCAGTAGCGGGTGGACATCATTCCGGAGAGCTAACAGCCGGCTATCGTGCCGCAAAAAGAGTTATCTTATGCCTAACGAATGAGATCGTGATTGGAGGTGGAGGCTTAGAGGAGAGGGTTGGACAAAGGAACTCACAACACGGTCGTAATATGATATCATGCTCTCATTCACGCACAGATTTTCTTCCCTGGAGAAGCATTTCATAGATCTTTAAGATGGCTATTAACTAATTGAACGTCTGCATATTTGTCATATACTTGAAGCTCTTCATTGTTTGTGGGATAGAGGTACTTCGTGGTTGTGTCAAGTTTGTCTCGATTCACCGTTTGACTGATAGCTGTATTGTGGACCTCTTGTTCAGAACGCCATTATATGAGCCTTCATGGTAATGGATTGTAGCCAGAGATCAACAGAATAGCTAGAAAAGCATCTCAGCCAGGTTATACTGAATGAGTCACTTTTCGAACGGACGTAGTCAATTAGTTGCCTTGTCATGTGCTTACTAATAGTTATCGAAGAAGCGTTCAAACAATTTACATGATGTAAGATCCTGCTTTAGGCAATCCAGGTTCATATTCAGACCAGTGCCTCTGAGTCCGTAATCTTAGACATAGGTCTTCTTCACTCCGTAGTCTGGGCCTTGTATCTTCTTGGGTTTTCATTGAAGAGACAAGCATAGGGGCAGCAACCTCCTCCTGTTCATCTTCTTGCTGCTTTCCGGTTCTTTTTCGAATGGTTCGCCTTCATTTTGGCTGTAATAACCACCCATATGGCAATGATAATCTAGTCTCAGCGAGTCACTGCCTCGTTGGCATCGTCTAGAGATCCAGCATTCTGAGTCACTTCATTGATATAATCTTCATCCGAGTTTTGTCGATCACTCGAAGGTGTAATGTAAATGTTTCCTTCCAGGACATTGTCAGCCTATTCTATCATGGCGATAACATGTTGTACAGAATACATTTTAGGATTTCTTTGAAAAACAAAGATTTAACTAATAGAAATATAGTTTAGCATAGAAAATGACATTAACAATGGAGTAAGCATGTTATTGCAATCCAAAACGTTTCACACTGCAATAGCATAGGAATAATATGTCGGAATATTTATAAACAACGAGCATATTTTTAATCATGTTACCAATAATTTAATTATCCCAAGCTACATATTACACTATCATATTTTACTAGTCTTACAAATGATAAAAGATTTCATCTTATAGACGCAACAGCTATCCCATATCTTAAATGATTATATGTGAAAATGAGCTCTAAACATGTGACTTAACACAAGTGTCTGAAAATTTCGTACTTTGCAATGAATAAGCACTTAAAGTACATCGATTTTTTGAGGTAGTCCATATTATATGCTTTTATGATCATACAACAAATCTTTCTTAAATATGTAAACTTGAGTCCGTCAAACTGGTTTCAAAGTATGGGGAATAGTGTGTTGTCTATACTTGCAAACCAAGAAATTTTAATTTCAGTGCCTTAAATCACATTTTAAGAAGTGTGCTTTACAAAGGACTCCAGAAGAAGATGAGAAGGGAGCCTTAAGATTTTTTGTTTGGGCGACAGAATTGGGACTCTTTGGGAGATTTTAATTGAGGCTTTTCGTCTAGCACAAACAATACTTGCCTGATACACCCAACCTCTCTTTTCTCGTGACTCTGCGCTTGATATGAACAAAGACGAGACTATGTTGCTTGGTTTTTATTGGTTGAATCTATTGCCTGATGACTCTTACGATATAGTTCTTCCAGAATCGAACTATCACCTGCACCAGCACTGCTATGCAAGAAGTTCTGGACACAGAGCTCTTTATGCGTCAACTTCCGCTTCTCGACATCAGCCTATGCGTTAACAGCAATATGTACCATGCTACGACGCGGTCATTGTTACCGATGGATAACAGAAATTGTCACCATACCATTTGATAGTAACCCGGAGTCGTTATGCTGTGATCCACCAGCTAGTGCTTTGGACCACATCTTATTCATCCTCTAAGTGCACGAGATCCGTCTGAACAGGCATGATCAGCTGCTTACAGAAGTTATGGTGATCATGAAATTTCGCGTGAGTGTTTATCACTCTCCATCACACGAGTGACCGTTGGGGCGCCCTGAGTGACTGCTTTCTGTGCTCCTTGCCATCTCATGGAGACACATTTGGGACTATTTTTGATCATTCAGAAAACATTTTCCAGTACCCCCCTAGCATACACAGTGTGTGCATTTTCCTGATTGCAAATATCTGTTCTTACATTGTTAGTAAGCAATCCTGAAGCCGTAAGGCTACACCGAAATTATTTGAGTGACCAAAATTTATTTTAAATGTGCCTCACAGGGACGGCCAAGGTCATACAATCGGCCACTCACGCTGACTACATGAACAAAGTAAGCAATTGGTTGGATGCGGTCCTCGCGATCGGAATGACCGAGGTTTACCTCCTAGCGAACCGAGGTCTCAATGGAGGTTGCGAGTCGCAACCCAACAACACAGCATGTTCGCTAAATACAACTTTGGAAGTAAACACTTGCTCGGAACGACCGGTGTTGTTGATGGTAATATTTAACGACATAATTAGACACTGCGCCACCTTTTTTCTTTTTCTTTTTTCATCCGCGAGTGACTGCAGATGCCCAAATGCGACGACTGGCCGTCCATCTATGCTTACTAACTGCGGACAGCCAGATAATACACCGTTAAATAGTAGTGGTAATATTTTGGGACCAGATTGAATAGGTTCGTCTAAGGCTGCCTAGCACAAGTGTACGTCCATTCCATCCTGCTTAGAATAGTCGGAAAAACTTCACGGGAGGCGAGTGGGATTGGAGGAGCAAGCTTATGTGATCAAGGTTGTACTTCAAAAACAGAACTGAATTGCTCGCAATCAACTGGTCGTTGTAGCAACAAGTTCATCGATTGGATTGGTGTGTCGATTGCAATGAAACATGCGGTGGGACAGAATGATCATCTGATTGGCCGGCTAATTCGTCTCATTTTGTAAGGATGAGACGGCGGGGCAAAATCGTGTCCAAATCCTACACCTGCCACAGACAGGCATCAACGATCTTCTAAATGTGACAGGATAGTCAGCCATCCAGGTTCAAGTGAATGTTCCGACTTGAACGAATGCAAAGGGCAAGTTTTGTTCATCCGATTGCATATTGAAGACCCTGTGTACTACCATCAGCGCATGTAAGTGTTCTTGGGGTATTGACAGGAGCTGAGTCAGATCGTTCAACACACGAAGGATAGGATTTCTGTCCAAGATAGCAAAATATTAATCCTCCGAGTACAGCAAGCGATAGTATCGACAGGAAAGTTTGTCATCCCTGACTAATTGGAAGATCCAATAGTGGAAATGGTAAGTGTTAATCCTCCGACTAATAAATACTGGCGGGACCTTAAAACTGGCCGGTTCCTTTACAATGGAACATCCTTTTTACCATATCTGCCGCAGGAACCACAGTTTTCACTAAATATGTTGACACTTCTTCGGTTATACGAGTTTAAAGTCACTAGCGCTGTGCTGCGTTGATTTTTTATAGAATAACTTTGAGATTGCGTGCGTGCTACTCGACGTTATCAAAAGACGCTTTCGTTACTTTAAGAATGCTCATCCCGATCGACATACTGGGCTTTGACACTGTAACTCCGACAGGAAACAAATACTAATAATCCACTTTATCAAAGGAAATTATTATTACCATATGTGGAACCGTTCATCCGGGTGACACCTGTGCCATTCCTTCCATCTATACAGTTTGCATTTTCAAATTTGCTATTTCAGTCCATCCACCGTAGTTATTGTGAGATTCTGAAAATGCACCCACTCGGGTACATCATGTCTGTATGACTTGACTTGACTACATGTGTAGTGTCATCGGTGTAGTTCCTAGTAAGTAATAACGAAGAAGATGCGAACCCAATGGTTTAAGCCTCAAAGAAGAACAGCCGCTCTGTCCAAAATGGTTAATTGGTATTTCTTCCGATACAGCTCGATAATATGCTATTCATAGAAACGCGAATGCTCCATGTGGTTCGCAAGGGCAAAGTTTTACTTGCTGACAAAAGTTGCTGCGATATCAACCGGTACCAGAGAACGATCCTCCGGTGTGTCAGCACGGCAGCTCTTTGTAATGCGCACTGATCTAATAGCAAAGAGGCTGGTTGCAGGACTAAAGAATTACATTAAAACTGATTCTGACTGTTTAACACGCCAGCAGGAACCCAGATAGACAGCAGCGCATGTCAACCAACATGTGTTACGGCGAATATTGCTCGCACACGTTCCAACCTAGTGTTTGTGCACAACCTGAGAAATATGATGAAAGCGGTGACAGCAGCTGATGGGACCTACCAAATGACTGAAACTTAGCCACTTGACCCGCATATAGGACTCGATCGGGAACCTTCTCATCTCAATGGATGACTAAGAAGTGAATGACTTGAATATACTTCGTGCGTTACAAAGTCTAAAAGCTCAACTTGGCACATTTGATAGAAATCAGTCGGTAAATCGCCATGTTGAAACCTCTTACTTCAGCTACATAGCGGCAGAAGTTTAAAAATCGCTTCCTTGCTTATCCATCACTCTTGACGCGATAACCATGTGACTGAAAGGACGATAGTTATCAGTGTTTTGACAACAGCCAGTTTTATGTCTTGGTAGAACAAGCGACAGGAAAGTTGTTGCTTCTCATATATGACAAGAAAGGGCTCGGGGTAGGGGTACGACGTCGGAACACGCTAGCTTTAGCAATCAGATCGCAAGACATCGGGGTTATGGTTGAAAGACAACTTAGGCGAACTTGCGATAGTGCGCGAATCAAAGACAATGTTGGGCAGCTCGTTTTCTGTGAGTCTAGGTATGTGAGCTAGGAATATCGTATTAACCTGTGACGGAGTCTCAGAATTGCCTGTTTAGGTCAGCTTGCTCAGTAATCACGGTTTTATTCGATATCATTAGTGATCTAAGGTGTGTCACATCATGAGTTCCCCTGCGTTTCAGCAGAGTTGTAAGTGTTTTCGACCTCTTTAGTGATCTGTCAGCGAAGTATGCTGATCCGAATCACCAGCATGAGGCTGAGCGTGTTTTACATCCTGCTTTCTGTAAGTCATTGAATCCCACACCTAAGTGCTTAATATCAGCCACTATATTACTTTGCATGTATCGGTGGCATTCACGAATCAGGCCTCTCAATTCCATTTTCTGTACTGAATAGATTTGGGCCTTTTAATTCTGCTTGGTGCCCTATGGACTAGCCAGATCAGCTCTCAAAAGCCACACGGTGGTATATGGTGCGTTCATCACCGCGCTGTTAGCTCGTCTACTTGACAGCTGATGCGCCTCTAAGTGCACTTTTTGTTTCGTTTTCCGTTTGCTTTTCTACAATTCTTCGTCCATCACTTTATCGATGATAAAGCAACTGCATCGACATATCGGCTGGACCACCCTGAATGCCTCCTTCAATCCCAGCTTTTTTGACCATATCTAGTCTCATTTCTCTCCTTTTTATTCGCTGCAGCTGGCTTCTCGACCAGTTTATTCGGATTACCGATTTGCAAAGAGATTGATTGAGACATCAGGCACGCACAGTATGCATCAGATTTGATCACTCACGACGCGATTCTGAGTATGGCCAACAATGTCCTTCCAGACGTTGCATGATGCGGTCTTCGTCGTCAACTACTTCCGTGCTTCTTCTTGTGACGTGTCTAGCCTTGGCTGTCGGGTCTTTACCTTGTGTTAGGCCATTAGTGTGACACATACTTTGCCAGTTTTCTTTCTAGCTGCCTTTTTCTATCATACTACTCTTAAAACAGAAGTACTTCTATCTGGTGCATTTTCGCACAGGATCTAATGCATGAAATGCAGTGAAAGCTCTCAAATGCATGAAGTTTGATAACAGAATATATCCGTAGAGCAAAAGCTTAATACCTGGAATGGCCAACGATAAATATTTTGTCTTGTATCCTCATCCATTTGCCTTATGGATGAATTCACAAAAGCACTTGACATTTAAGTTGGTTTCGTTAAGGTTATTGCACAGCATTCGATGTTGTGTTTTACAAACCACTCATGTTATACAAACAGTTGTAGAGGAATTGCTTATTGCGTTTTCCAAGTGACCCGGTTCCATTTTCGTAACCGCCATTTTGAGTGGAACGTTCGACGATATCGTATCTCGCCCAGTTAGCAAATAATGGTTACCATTAATATTATTCTGTTTTCGGTGTGTTTTCCTTTTATCATCCGGTGTATATGTGATTCGTTACTAGCGTTGTTTAGTAAATCCGTTAAGTGCTCTCCGTGAGTTGTACCTCTGCTATTCCAGTTTAGCATCGATGACACTGGGCGACGATTTTTTTTACCAAATTCGTGTTACTAAAATAAATTTGATCAATTCTTATCGCTGTTTATGTGCTGAACACAAACGTGTTAGTCAAAATGCAAATTTTGCTCTAGTTGCTTGTAATATGCTATAATTGTCAACATCCCCACATGCATGGTCATCGATTTTATATAATAATTTTATTTTGATGTACTCATGAGTAGATGGTTTTGATATAATTATTTGCGGTTCTTCGCAGCCACCTTCCAAATCAGATAGTCTTCCACATGCTCAGAAATGCATTAGATTGCAGTTTCAGCTTGTTTGGCTTCACCAGTGGTGCGCATCCATCGGATCCATCAGGATTCGAACCCATGACCACCAGCGGCTTGCACAGTCACTCAGCAGGTTGTGCCACTGGGCCACGGGGGACAGCTTCGGACCGTCATGATTTACAAGTTAACTGTGATATAGCGCGTCTTACCCTCCAATTACATGCAGGTTACGAACGTTGCAAAGGACAGGGTTGGCCCCGAAGGACACGACGTCCACTAACGGTAGCTATGTACAACATGGCATTTAGAAACTGTTAGGGTGGGTATGTTTTGATGTACTCATGAGTAGGAGATTTTGCTATAATTTATTGATGTTCTTCCGGGTATGTGGACGACTATCTGATTTGGAAGCTGGCTGCGAAAAACCTCTTTTAATACTTTTATTGCCTTTAAAAAGTCAACTCATAGCTCACCTCTTAGATTACTTTGCCTGTCGCTTTACAGTTGTTCGGACGCATATGTGATGATTGTCCAGCTATCATCATGATATTTGAGGATTTGCCCTGATTATAATTATTAAAATGCGAGTAGCTTCGTAAAAGAACTACATTTTCTTCTTGTTGGGTTTTTCACTCCTCTGCAACCTTGTCTGGCAGTGTGTTGATATTCAACATCAATACACATATCCTGATATTCCCTGGAACCGCCGTCATTTCTGAGAAAGGATCCACCACACTGAGCGCATCGTGCTCCCATTTACATCCCCTTTTCTCTTGCTTGCTCCTTGCTCGTCCATTTGACTTTCAAATCAGGGGCGATTAAGCGATTTCAGACTTAGATTTTTGACATTATTTCGTTATATCTTTAACCACTGTGAGCGTAAAAGCCTTTAGCTAGTCATGTTTGTCTGCTCAATCGGCTCTCTTGGCTGAGTAGTTAACCTAACATCGATCCCTTCTATCACATAAGAAGTACAATTCGAGTTTCTAAGATACGCATTGCATTTTACCCTTCAAATTACACAGTTTTACCTCTATATTCCAAACGAATCAAGTTGTGCAACTCTTTTCTTTTCATTCCAGCTGGAGACATCCAAGACGGATTAAGTTGGAGCGATTCGCACCCAGTCTATCGCATCTTTCCGAGCTTGACCACTCACAGAATCATTTTGCTCTACTGAAACCATCTTTTATTACACACTTTTGAAATTCTTTTCAGTATTATCAGTGCCTCCTTCATACCCAGTTCTCGCGCTCTAACTCCCTTTACCTCCTATCTCCTTACCAGTTGTAATCCTCTCCCTTGCTTGTTCTTTATTTTTTACTTTTATTCCAACTCGATGTATTTCTGTCATTTTTCACTGAACAGTTTCACATTGCAATCAATGATTTGTTCCTTGTGCGACCGGTCATTCGGAAATCTGGCGAATCAGGTATCGTTTCAATGAAAACGGTCCTAACAGGATCACTCGCTAGGTACTTATGGCCGCTGAACGTACAGCTACTGCTTAGGACGAAGCCCTGCCATTTTAGCTGGGCAGCTTCTTTTGCGTGCCTACTGACTGCACACATACTCCATCGTAATTCGTCTGCTCACACCGTGCCGAAGTGGGTAATTTCTCGGTGTGCACGGTGCATGTGTTCTTGCATTCGGTGGACTTTTCTCAGTCATCATTCCAGTGTTTCTTAGCAATTTTCACATTGTGTCTTCTGCACGTTCCTTTTAGTTTTTCTTTCTGATTTTAGTCAACCCGGCTGGGTTCGTCCTACTCCAATGCACCAATCAACTAGCTAGATGGGTGCAATGCCTCGATACGCCTCGATATGCTTTCGATACGCCGATGCAACAAAACAAGTGTGATCCACACGTCCAACTCATTAGTGTTTTCTACCATGTTCGCTTGCTGACAACTGTTGGGATCGCGCTTACAGCGACCCTGTGATGGTCGCACATAAGTAGCTAGTACTTCCAGTCATTTTATTAACGTTGATAGTGGTCTTCAGTCTTGGTTCGGGCTATTCAACAATTCTTGCTGTGCTTTTTTCACACAAGCTAAATAGCAGCACTCTGCTGCGCCTCAGGACTAGTCTACTTGTACCAACGGTATGGCTCCCTCTTTTGACAGCACCAAATCATCTGAGTTGTCACCTGTTATCCGATGCAACAAACGCTGCACATGCTCCTGGGAATGATCTATGTTTTTTCCCTTTGTTCGCACTTCTTATCTCACTTAATTTTCCGGACCCCAGCAAATAAATTCTAGGTATCCCAGGATAACACCAGATATTTGTTCATGCGAAAGCACTTTTTTCTGTGTTTATCTAACAAAGGGTCATGGCGCGAAGTACACCGAAGCATAATTTTGTTTGTTTATACGGTGTCATTTTGATGGGACCGATCGTCTGTAACTATCGGTGGCTGAGTGGTCTGCACGTTTGCTTTGCAACCATTAGGTCACCGGTTCGAATTCGCGTAGGGGTGGGCGTCCTCGCGGTATACACAGCCCGCGCGACTGGTGGTGGTCGCGCGGCAGCGAAGCGCCGTTACGGCGTACAGCTGACACATTATTATTATTATATCGCAATTGGCTCCGGAGATGTTTCACTTCAACATCACAATAACAGACTTTCAATGGGCAGGATGATGTTTGACGGAATATTATTGAATTCATTCCAGCAGCTCACAGACCAGTCCATAGATGCACCAGATGACCATTTCGTCTTGTTGGTGAGCTCAGTTTCATCAGGAACCGAGTTATTAGCGGCGTGCGTCACTAGCCGGTAGATGGTGCCACCAAGCCATAGGAGATGGTCATGTCTTACAAGCTAACTGTGGTCTAGCGCAACGAAACGGCCTACTGATACCTTTCCCGAATAGTGATAAGACTATCTGGCTTGTGAGATGCTGGGGTACATTCAGTAAAATAGAACATTTCTCGGTGTAGCATAGACATAAGCCACGGAATCGTCCGAGTTATAAAAGTTTATGTCGATCAATTCGCTTCTCCTAAAATTGGGCCCATACTGTTCTCGAAAACAATCGTCACCGGAATTATGAATGAGACCAAGCAGTTTGTACTCTCAGATGGACCATAGCTCTCGCACAAACCACGTCACGCCTATGATCGCAGCGAACGACGGGAAGACATTACGAATGATTATTACGATTTCGGCGGTGTGCGTGACGTTAGCGAAAACTATCATTAGTGAGCAGATAGGTCCTGTTAAGACAACTCCAAATTCATGCTAGATTGACTAGAGGAGTCATTTTGAAGCATACCGACTGATTATGACCCTATATCTAGCCTGGCTTCCGCCTTTTCTCTGGCTCAGCCATTCTCAACGTAAGCCAGAGGGAATTTCTATGGGCTGTGGGAAGAGAGGAAATTTTATGGGGGCCATGCTGTGAAAAGTGGGTTGTGATAACATATGAGTCGCTGACCCGTCCTAATAAGGTCGTGGGTTCCAATCCGGCAAGATTCGGCTGGTGCGCGCTAGTGACGAGCCCCAATAGAACGAACCGGCTGTCTAGCGCTTTCCTAGATGTGTAGCACTGTCTGGCTGAGTCTAGCTGCGACGAATCCTCACCAATAACAAGAAACCCATAAAAGCTTTCTGATACTATTTCTCTGTGCAGTAATCTCTAATGCTCAGTACCGGTCAGCGAAATAAATTACGCGTGCACAAGTGGCTGTTTGCGAAAATGTGAAAGTCAGACCGGGCAGACTTTCTGTCGCGGAACTTGTCGGGCTCACTTCAGACATACAATCGGCTTACGGTAGAGGTGTCCAAACTTTTCGCAAAGTGGGCCACATTTTGTGAGGTAAAAATATTTGGAGCCAAATGCAGTCCGAAAATAAGATTATAACCAATAGTGACATGTGCTATAATTTTTTATTACAAACTTTTAATGTTATGGGAGAACTGAGACCTTGACTGCAGTAAACTAGTCCGGTCGTGCTCATCAACACTGGTTTCGATACGCAAAATATCACATAGATGAGAATCACTTAGTTTCGTCCTCACACGAATTTTTTCGCATCCAGAGCAGAATGTCTGCCTGCACAAGTATGTCGAGTAAAACAAGCTGAGTATTTTTTTAACAAATGTTCGAAGCTCTTGGAATCTACGTTTATGCAGCTGGCAGTAAAAATTGATGGGGCTGTTAGGGTGAACTGTGACATTCAACCTCACTGCAACTCAATGGGCTCCAGTTGCAGGTGACCTAGGGTATTGTCAGGGTCCACAGAGGAAGAAGAAAGAAGCCCAAACTCCTTTTCAGTGGCCGCAAAATCCTGAACGCGTTCTTGCAACTCATCAGCCAGGTACACAGTATCTGCAACATACTTCTGTATTTGTTATTGGTGTTGCTTCCTCAGACTTGTTATGATTTCCAGTAGTTCTGAAAAATGTGTAGTACCAAGCTGCGTTTGAAAGAGCTGTCTGTAGGAAAGTTGCATCTTATTCCTAAATGCTTTGATGTGTGAATACAGTTGCCTACCACGACATATTGCCCCTGAAGGCTCTTGTTCAACATGTTCAGGTGCCGTGTAATCTGAACCAAAAATCAAGCAGGATCAGACAGTTCTGGCGTCGACTGTCCCCTATTTTCCATGAATTATCCACTTTCTTGTCTAGGAGAGTAGAAGCGATGAAGGGCAGTCCGTCAGCTGAGCCATCTTATATTATTGTGATACACAATATCTCCGTATTCTGGATATCGAGTAGGGACTGCTGATACTAGCTATGAAACAGAGCTTTTAGCTAAGATAGTTGATACTTTCCTCCTTTGGCTTCGTACCATCATCACACCTAAGATGTTTGGCACAAAATAACTTAAAGAAATTAGTTCCCTACATAAATCTAAAAAGCGCGGAACATTGGTAAGTGCATGCATTTCGTTTTGTCTCCTCAGTAACATTAACCGTAACCGATATGCTAAAGGTGTAAATTCGTCACTTCTAGACTCACTCAGACAGCCATCACACGCCCGGAAAAGCACTGTACGCGTTTCATCCTTTCGGGAATCGTCAGCTGTGCGCATTCCATCCGACCCTGGTTGGGCTGGAACCTGCAACTCGAGTGTTGCCAGTCCGTGCTTGAGGCCACTGAGCTACGGGGGACGGCGACGACCATCGTGAATAAATTACTAGATGTGATAGCGCCGCTCACTATCCACTGACTTACACGTTACTTCCGTGCAGAGGGCAGGGTAGCCCACTCACCAAGCGACGAAGATACCAAACTTAAACCACCAATTGAGCTATGGCATTATAACCGCTTTGCTCTGCGTACAGATTACAGAGCAGTAGTAGCTTATTCACGATGTTCCCCCAATTACTCCTCTTTAATAACCGATATTCATGTATATAGCTAACATTGGATGTGACCGGACATGTTTGAGGTGCAGTGAGTGACGCAAATTCACACAAATGACCATGGCAGTATCAAACTGACAAATAATTGTTTTTGAACGGCTTATTGCGACCGCCTCAGCGAACCAAAGGAAGCGTTGATTAGCGTGACGCAACCCAACTGTGAGCGCTGGGCTCAACTCTATCCGGTGATCCGAGACCAATAGGCGTTTACCTATCGAGGAAGCCGGCGGCCTACGCGAGCACCGGGCTTGAGGGCGTAGGCGTTTGGGCGATTTCGTGTTGAACCCATCTCCGCATGTGTTCCTTTATTCGAGAAGTCAGAGTTCTATCGGTTCTGCCTATGGAACTGCTTCCACAGTAGCACGAAGGCAACGGTGGTCGAAGGTAACTAGCTTCGTTATGTCCGCTGATCTAAGGGGCCAGGTTTTATAACCGTACAGTAAGGTCGAACGTATCTCTGCCTTGTACACTCTATCCTTCAGGGCGAGAGTAATGTCACGCCGGCGCCATAAGTGGCGAATATTAGCAAAAGCTCAACGATCTTTTGCTATTGGTAACAATCGTTAGTTATTCCGTCTGATACTGTAAACGCGCAGCAGGAGACCTGGTGTTAGTTAGATCATACGCGACTGAAGAGAACAACCAATCCACATGTCAAAACGCTTCGGGCGTTAGGCCGATCCCTTTTAAAGCAGTGTAATCAACCTGAGTTATCATGTTCCTTGTCGGGTATTGAATACTTTTCTCTCTAGACCGTCTCCTTGAACTCGCCTTCACGCTCAGGAGTCGAACATGAAATCCGACTGTTGAAATAAAATAGAGCTTTAGGAGAAGAACGACTTCTTCCAGTCCTTTTCAACTTCTGTGTACCAGTTCTCATGGGTGAATTGCACAATTTACTAGGAAGGCTATTGGACCGGGATACTGCCCCAGCAAGACGGAAGCGATCCGTTATTGTCGCAAAATTTAAGGGATGCCCATGTTCGGAATACAACCATCACAGACTGAACAGTTTGATCCCAGTTGCCCCTCCACAGACTAGCTGGCGCCCGAGAAAACCAGATTCGTAAAGAGCAAGTCGGGATTTGTCGAAATCTAGGCTGCATTGACCACATCTTCACTTTACGTCAATTGTTGGAACAACGTAATAGTTGTGTTACTCGACGTCAAAAGTACCTCCGATTCGGTAGCTCGATCTGCTTCTTGGGACTATCTGCTCATTAAAGGCGTGTCCGATAAATATTGTTTGTGTGGAGTGTAGCAGTATGGTTTTATGCTAACAACAT